CATAGCCCGCATGGAAATACTTATGTAGATAAATATCTATCACACCTACAAATTTAGAACTCACCGCTTGTCCCATCTAAGTTAGACTGCTCGTGTGAGCCTTTGCTTCCCAGGTCGTGAGCTACTGATGGGGAAGGGTAGATAGGCAAGAAATACGCTACCTATCGTGAAAAATACAGGTTTAACTCACATTAGCTTCTCGAAATCACACCCGTCGTGAATTATTAATTCATGTTTCATTGTTTGATGATACATTAGAAGGACACAAAAAGTAACATCATTGATTCTGATTCATTAATTGCTGTCTCTAAAGCTATGTCTANCTCGTGAGCTACTGATGGGGAAGGGTAGATAGGCAAGAAATACGCTACCTATTGTGAAAAATACAGGTTTAACTCACATTAGCTTCTCGAAATCACAACCGTCGTGAATTATTAATTCATGTTTCATTGTTTGATGATACATTAGAAGGACACAAAAAGTAACATCATTGATTCTGATTCATTAATTGCTGTCTCTAAAGCTATGTCTATTGGTGTCTGACGTGTTGGGTTGGATCATTTTATGTCGGGTTGATTTCAAGTTTGTGTCGAAAATTTCAAAATTCAAACATGACATGTTTAATAATCGTGTCGAGATGCGTAAACACTAACCTGACCTGACTATTAAACAGGTTATTCGAACTTGACCTGTTTTACACGTTTAATAAACAAGTCATTTTTGGGTTAACACACATATCATGATCTATTTAACTTGTTTAACAAACAGAACACAAACCTGTTTAACACACATAACTTGTTTTCACACTAGTTCATTATCATTAAATACATCATTCAATCATTCATCCAAAATTTCAAATAATTTTTTTATAAATAACTTATCACATCTCATCAATGAAATTAACTAAAATGCATTTAAGTTTCAACCCAAAAATTAAAATAAGAACTATACTAGTATATTATCATAATAATATTAAGAATTATATTATCAATTATTACAGTAGAAGTAAGAACGAATAAGTAATAATGTTAAAATCACATCAGTCATACATAATAGACAAATTATATTGCCATAAACAGGTTAAACAGGTCTATAATGGATTAGGTCCGAATCGTGCCTTGATCATGTCAACCCATTTAAAATATACGGGTTAATCAAATCAAAATCAGGTTGAACTGATTTTGACATGAACCCGACATGATTTTTTTTGTGTTTAAGCGTGTTGACTCATTAACTCGTTTAATTTCGTGTTTGACTCGTTGAGTTCGTGTTTGACTTGTGTCATATTAACATATTGTGTCGAAAATTGACAGCTTAGGTATTCCCAAATTAATTTTTGTGCACGTTTCCACGCACTCCAACACTACCCCTCAATGTCCTCTTGAGTTCAGGGTGATTTAAAGGAATGTTTCTGGAACATTGCTTCACTATTGGGTCTTTTGCATTGTCATACTTCTAATGTTAAACATATTTATGACTGAAATCTCCTGCTGTTCAAAGAGAATTGAACCGTTCGTGGCCATCAAAAGTTTTCAGACTCCTTCTGCTATGAATGTAGAGAGCTGCAAGCTTATAAACCAGCAATNCAGAACACAAACTCCGTTAAACATATTTATGACTGAAATCTCCTGCTGTTCAAAGAGAATTGAACCGTTCGTGGCCATCAAAAGTTTTCAGACTCCTTCTGCTATGAATGTAGAGAGCTGCAAGCTTATAAACCAGCAATATGAACATTAGAAGACCTAAAATACAATCAAGCATCCTTACTAATAAAAAAAAGGGACTACATACCACAAGCCAAGTGTTTGGCTGTTCAGGTTGCTTTGTTATATTTGGACTGCCTTTGTATAGTGTGTTTGAGCTTAACTCGAATTTCAGACATAGCCTAATAAGCTTACCGTAATGCGAAAATCAGAATCCATACAAAAAGGGGTAGAAGACTCTAAAATGTTACCAAACTATTCCACAGACTAACCATGTCATTTTGACTGAACCAGTGAACGGTTCTTCAGCAATTCGACAACTCTTCTCATGGAGGGTCTGTTGAGGGGAATTGCGGAAGTGCAAAGAAGAGCCACGTTCAAAACCTTCTCAATCTCATCGTAATCGCATGTGGATGCCTTCATCCTCGGGTCTATCAGCACACTCATATCTATAGAACTACCGCCATTAATGCCGCTTCCTTGTTCTGGAGCTAACAAGGCAGCCTCGGTCAACCACTTCACAATATCCTTATTCTCCCCAAAGGAGGAATCATTTGGCCTCTTCCCCGTAATTAGCTCCAACAACACGACACCAAAGCTGTACACATCACTCTTCTCAGAAACTTTTAATGTGTATGCATACTCTGCAATCATTACAACAGTGTGGATATGTTAGGACGTTAGCCATCACTGCATATAACACAGATTTTTCCTTTTTCATCCCTTTACCGATATAGGAAAAGTTCATCTTGCATCAGTTACATCACACAAACTTGAAAATTCACTTGCTCAGAGTAGTCATACAGTAGTGCCACAAACATTCTAGACACAAAATTCATTGACTATTGTTCTTCATGTTCCTAATAATGCCATATCTATCAACATTTTGTTATATGCCTTTTCACCAAACATAAGACTGTAAAGCTTCTATACATAATAACTTTCTCCATATATCCACTACGCGCCCGTTCCTCATCCTTTTCGCTGAAAATTTATACCCCAAACTCCATTGGAAGGAATACCATGAAGGGCTATCAAAGAGTTACGCAGGGGTGTCGATTAAGTTTCACTATGACAATATAAAAACAGAAAATGCCCTCAAATAGTGGCTTTAAATGTGAAATCATTAAGGAAAAAACAACCAATTAAATTCCTAAAGTAATTCAGAATATTCAAACGAATACAAACTCAAAACAATCAAACCAAAATAGCCCAAGTATGGTATGGGTTAAAATTTGTTTTTTCATCACCTTTTCTAATTTGTGTTGTTTCCTTTTGCTCCTTTAGACAATTGCAGTTTGCCTGACCTGATGTAGCTTTAGTTTATCAACATTATAACAACTACAAGGTGACAAAGACATTCAATGCTCCATAGATCAATATGTTTAGATCTAATTATAATTTTTTGTTACAGCCACAAACTGAGGGCAAATGTCAACAGCACCGATTAACAGAGTTCACGTATGCACTTAACTGAGTTGTAACTAATCCAGTCGTAAGGATTCTGTTAGGAGATTAGTTAGTTAGTTTAGTTCAGAACTAACCAAGGCTTAGGCTTCTATATATATCTCTGTAACCTTCATTATGAACTTGAGTTGAATGAATGAGAGTCTTGTTTCAGTTTGTCTCCATTGCTGCTTCTTTGAGTTTTCGCACAGGTTTCATAGTTAGTAAGATTCATAACAATCCATAACGTAGTCTAGACTAGAATATTATGCCATCGGATGAATGATACGTTATAAATGATACCTAAATGAATTAATAATCTAACACGGCATGTGCATAAACAACAGATGGACAAAGCCTTAACAACTCACCTGGCGCGATGTAGCCATAGGAACCAGCAACACGCGACATAACTCCATCACCCTCCTTCACATCCTGCTGAAACGTCTTGGCTAGCCCAAAATCTGCCACCTTTGGCCTGAAGTCCTCATCCAAAAGTATATTATTCGACTTAACATCCCGGTGCACAATCCCAGGCACACAGTCATGGTGTAAATAGGCCAGCCCATGTGCTGCCCCAACAACTATCTCGAACCTCTTTGGCCAATCCAACAACACACCACCCTTCTCTCCATGCAACACATCTCCTAAGCTTCCATTTGCCATGTACTCATATACCAGTACCCTAAAGTCCTCTCCAATGCAACTGAACAACAATTTTATGATATTGGCATGTCGGATTGTTCCCAATGTCTCCATCTCTGACTGGAAAACCCCCTCAGTTTCCAATTGCCGGCTAGCTTCCCATAGCCTCTTCACTGCCACTGTCTGCCCACTCTTTAGCTTGACTCGATACACCCTACCCGACCCTCCACTTCCAATTAGGTTATCATCTGTCAATGAAGCTAGTACATCTTGTTCAGTGAACCTGACCCTTAGGAATGAGGTAATCTTCCATGAACGTTTATTTCTACGACCAAATGCATACAAGTTTTTGGTCTTGATCACGAGCAAAAGAAGTGACCCTATAAGAATTAAGGCCAAGCCTGATAGAATCCAAACCACATAGAAGCCAACGGGTTTGGGTCTCGGGCATGTGGGGAGTGGTTTCAGATCTGGACTACACAGTTTCGGGTTACCCATTAAGCTTGGCAAGAAAAAATCAATGTTGAAACCAAGAGGCACTTTGCCTTCAAGTCTGTTATTGGAGATGTTGAACTTGTTGAGCTTCAACTTCGTCAACTCAACCGGAATATCGCCGGAAAGTAAGTTTCCGGCGAGATCCAAGTACGTTAACACCGGCAATTTCCCAAGCTCAGTCGGAATATCTCCGGTGAATTGATTGTTTGATAAATTCAACTCAGTAAGCTCAGTCCATGTACTAACAGCTTTTGGAATTTCACCGGTGATTCTGTTCTCTTGAAGGTCGAGCTTCTGTAGCCTTTTCAATTTTGTTATGCACGAAGGCAGTGTGCCGGAAAATTGATTTTTACTTATATCCATAATTGCGAGTTCTTGCAACCCGCATATCTCCGACGGCAACTCGCCGGAAAAGTTATTGCCCGAGATCTGTAACTCAGTTAGGTTTCGAGCGTTGGAAATTGTAGCCGGAATCGAACCTTCCATTCTGTTGCTGTAGAGTTGAATTAATTCTAGTCCGGAAAAACTCCAGAAATTGACTGGTACTTGTCCAGAAAGTTCGTTGTTGAAGATGCGTACGCAAGTTAAAGAACCGCACTCGCCGTAAGACTCTGGAATCGGACCAGAAAATCTATTATCGAAAGTGATTAAACGTTGAAATTTCTGTCTGTAACACAGATCCGGAGGCAGCGAACCTTCTAATTGGTTTCCGGATACATCAAATTCCTCCAAATCTGAATTTTTTCCTAAATTCACCGGTAAAGCACCGGAAAATTTGTTGTTAAACAACTTCAGCGAGTAAAGCTTAGGGTTAGAAGATAAAATTTCTGGAATTTCTCCTTCGAGGCTGTTGTCATTGAGATGAAATGATTCGATAGGCAAACCGGCGAGACTCTCCGGTATTTTCCCGGTGAGATTGTTCTGAGAAGCGTCGAATCGACGCAATGAAGTTAAGGTCGCAAAAGTGTCTGGCAATTCACCTGACAGTCTGTTCAGGTAGAGTTCGATTTGTTCGACATTTTTCAAACCGGCAATACTGGCCGGAATTTCGCCGGTGAGTATATTGTTCGAAAGATCGAGATTTGTGAGAGAAATTAGGTCTCCGACAGAGTGAGGAATGTCTCCGATGAGGTTTGAGGTCGCCAGATATAAATTTTGAAGCTTGGTGAGGCGTCCGATTGTGGAAGGCAATGGACTCGATTTGAATGGATTTACCGCGAGTTCAAGACGAGTTAACTCTGTCAAATTGGTCAAGAACTCAGGTATTGAGCCATTGAGCAAGTTATTCACAAGGCAAAGCACCTGAAGTTTCGGTAAGTTGCCGAAACTCGTCGGGATTTCACCAGTAAAATTGTTCGCTGAAAGATCGAGCGAGCTCAAGTTGGCAAATTCTGTATGGAACTCCGGCAATCCGCCAACGAACAAGTTGGCGGAGAGGTTCAAGAATCGGAGATGAGGGCAAAGAGAGACTGAGTTTGCAGAGATTGTACCCATCAAATTGTTATCGAAAAGGTTGAGGCTTTCGAGCGTCGAAATCCGACAGAAATCCGCCGGAAAATTGCCGGAAACGCCGAAGCTAACGAGGTCGATGGACACGACACGGTGACTCTGAGCATCACAGGTGATGCCTGTCCAGCTGCATGGAGCATTGTGAGTTGACTCGTTCCAGTCACTGAGTCTACCGACAGGATCATCGAGTTGGCCGTTCTTGACTCGAAGCAAAACGGCGACGTCTCTATTCAAAGAACTCGCCGAAGAAATCAAAAAGACGAACAAAAGCGCGTTTATGAGAAGAACTTCTTCTTGTCTCTGACAACTCATTGTTCACCAAAAATGTGAGACAGATCTGTCAGAGAGTATCAGAATACGAAAAAGCAATTGTGTTTGAGTTTCAGTGAGTAAAATAGATAGAGAGGTTAAAGCTATGCATGGGTGCCAGGTACGAGGAAAACAGGGCTTATGGGTAATTACAGAGTGTTGGTTCAGCTGGCAAGAGCAGCTTATCTCTGGTTTTAATGGTGCGTAGTGAGAAAGAGAGATAAAGATAAACTTGGGAAGAGATTGATTGATACAGAGAGGAAAGTAATAGGGAGAGAGTGATGCTTTTGGTTTGTGTGATTCTGGGAAGAAGAATGTGACAAAAGGAGTCAAAAAGAAAGTGTTATTTGCTTAGTTGGTCTGTGTGAGTGAAAAGTACAGATATTTGATAATTAAGGTGAAAGTTTTAAAAAAAATGGGGATTGTTTTGGCCGAAATTGGGAATAAATTTTTAAAAAAAGTAAAAAATTGAAAATAAAAGTTCAATTAATAAGATCCCAGCATCAATCTCGTTGGCTGTAAAATTAACACCTTACTATATAAAGCCTAAAAAAACCTTGGAATGCCTAGAATGTAGCAAGATGAACGCCCAGAACGACGACCAACAACTCCGACGTCTTTCTATGACTAGTTGGGCTCCATCAACTCCTTCATCTTTCTAGTTTCTATGATCAGTTGGGCTCCATCAACGTCGAAGGTCGATGACCAACAGCACCGACCTCTCTCTCTGTAAAATTCACAAATCTGATTTTTACATGATTGAAGCTCTAGTTTGTATTTGTATTTCTGGGTATAATATTATTAAAGTTGGGTTTGTGTTGTGTTTTTGGGTATAATATGATAGTTATTTAATATTATTTCGGTGCTGTGTTTATGTTGTTGGGTATAATATGTTTATTTTGATACTTGAGAAGAAATTAAGGTTGGGTATAAAATGATTGGAATCGAAAAAAAAATAGGGAAACCATTTTTTTTTGGTTATTATTTTTATTATCTTTTTAGGTTACTCTCCAACAAGTTTTACGTAAAACTATTTTTATAATCATATAACTAAATAAGTTTTGAGACACAAAAAATACAAATACACATTTTTCTAAAACTCTTTTTAAAAATTATTTTTGAATACTTTGTTTTGAGATATAATCCAAATGCGCTCTAAATTGGACTTGCATCCCCTCATTTTTATATTAGATATTCCAATATTTTTTACATTTTAGTATCAATTAGTTTGTGTCCACGGTACGTTGTATGTAAACTATTTTGAATTATAATTTTTAATTTTATTTTGTACCCAGATTATCTCTATATTTATGGTTTAAGTATGCATAAAACAAGTGTTAAGTTATAAAATAAAAGAGATAGAATATAAAAGGATCACATTAGGTCATTAATTTGAATAGTTATTTGTTGTTTATGATATTTATATTTTTAATATTTTGGTTCTACCATGGTTATGGGCCATACTTACCAGAATTTCTATCAAGATATAGAGTTTTTCACCCCAAATTACCTTTAGATTGGAACAAGTTACAATATTATAGTAAATGTTTGACAATTGAAGACTGAAAAATAGATTAAAATTAAATAGAAGTGAATAAAAATTTAATTAACAAGTAAATTTTGCATATAGTTATTTCAAAAATTACAGTCTAATTTCAGGCACCAAGACATGACAAATAAAATTTCTAATTAAAATCAAAAGAGAAGATAAATATTAAAAAAAAATTGAATCTAAACAGTAACTAAAACACATCAAATTCTCTTAGATTACACTCAGATTATATTATCAAAGTAGTAGTTGATAGTAAGATAACGTTAAATGAAGCCAGGAGTGACTTGACACATATTGAAGCGTAAAGCGACAAATCTGAATAGGGTCTTTTGTTTTGATTTTTTTTTTTTAACATTTCTACAATTGTTTTAAAAAAAAATAATTCTCGCTTGTTAAAATACACATTCTTAATTAAATTATTGTATTCTTAAATTTTGCTATCATATATTATCAAATTACAAACATATCTTTTTGTTTGATACATGTAACAAATTTANCTAATCATATAACTAAATAAGTTTTGAGACACAAAAAATACAAATACAGATTTTTCTAAAACTCTTTTTAAAAATTATTTTTGAATACTTTGTTTTGAGATATAATCCAAATGCGTTCTAAATTGAACTTGCATCCCCTCATTTTTATATTAGATATTCCAATATTTTTTACATTTTAGTATCAATTAGTTTGTGTCCACGTACATTGTATGTAAACTATTTTAAATTATAATTTTTAATTTTATTTTGTACCCAGATTATCTCTATATTTATGGTTTAAGNATAATCATATAACTAAATAAGTTTTGAGACACAAAAAATACAAATACACATTTTTCTAAAACTCTTTTTAAAAATTATTTTTGAATACTTTGTTTTGAGATATAATCCAAATGCGCTCTAAATTGGACTTGCATCCCCTCATTTTTATATTAGATATTCCAATATTTTTTACATTTTAGTATCAATTAGTTTGTGTCCACGGTACGTTGTATGTAAACTATTTTGAATTATAATTTTTAATTTTATTTTGTACCCAGATTATCTCTATATTTATGGTTTAAGTATGCATAAAACAAGTGTTAAGTTATAAAATAAAAGAGATAGAATATAAAAGGATCACATTAGGTCATTAATTTGAATAGTTATTTGTTGTTTATGATATTTATATTTTTAATATTTTGGTTCTACCATGGTTATGGGCCATACTTACCAGAATTTCTATCAAGATATAGAGTTTTTCACCCCAAATTACCTTTAGATTGGAACAAGTTACAATATTATAGTAAATGTTTGACAATTGAAGACTGAAAAATAGATTAAAATTAAATAGAAGTGAATAAAAATTTAATTAACAAGTAAATTTTGCATATAGTTATTTCAAAAATTACAGTCTAATTTCAGGCACCAAGACATGACAAATAAAATTTCTAATTAAAATCAAAAGAGAAGATAAATATTAAAAAAAAATTGAATCTAAACAGTAACTAAAACACATCAAATTCTCTTAGATTACACTCAGATTATATTATCAAAGTAGTAGTTGATAGTAAGATAACGTTAAATGAAGCCAGGAGTGACTTGACACATATTGAAGCGTAAAGCGACAAATCTGAATAGGGTCTTTTGTTTTGATTTTTTTTTTTTAACATTTCTACAATTGTTTTAAAAAAAAATAATTCTCGCTTGTTAAAATACACATTCTTAATTAAATTATTGTATTCTTAAATTTTGCTATCATATATTATCAAATTACAAACATATCTTTTTGTTTGATACATGTAACAAATTTATCAAAAGATTTTTTTTGAGTTACAAATAGTTTTTTAATTTTTCTTATTTTTAAGTTTTTATATCCGGCTGGTTGTCTATAATATATAATCAAAATAAATACATGTGATAATAAAGGATCTATAATAATAGTAATAATAAAGCTTGAATTTAAACAAAAGCCCTGAAAAATATGAAATGACAATAAAATTTAATTTACCAGTGTTACTTTAAAATTTTAAAATTTGATATTTTGATTCTCTATTGATCAAAGTTAGATTATCACTCTTGCCAACAAAATTGAGTGGGTTATTTTTAAGTGAGTTTGAAGATATAAATTTTGTGAAACATTAGGACAAACAGAAAGATATGGATCTTGAATTTGTGGGTTGACTTATAGATGGGATTTAGACCATTTAACATATAACTTTCCTATTGGGCTTAAGCTTTATAAGGTTCTTTGAGTAGTGACGTAGAATATTCTGAATTTAGAGTTTGAGCCTTAACTATACTATGAACATATTGTTTACAAGTATTACTTCATGAGATCTATGATAACTTGCAAAAGAAAATAAAACATAAAAGACAGAAGTGGAGAGAGCTATGGAAGCTATAGAGAAGAACCAAAATACCAGTAGCCTCTATTATTTAAAAATGAGCAATGTTCTGTATACCAAATTATGTACTAAATTTTGTATTATAAATTAGTGTGGTTGATTGGATCAGTGGGATCTAATAATTTCCTTTAAATATATAATGCATAAAATTTTAACACATCATTTGGATACAATATTTGGTAAATAAATTTTGGAAGCACAATTTTATCCTCTAAAGATAGAAGATTTCTCTGCTATTTGAAAAATGCGGGTTTGAAAGGAGAACCTGTTATTCTTGTATTATTTTTTAATTTTCTCTAATGTTATGAATATGAAAAGTCTTCGGATAAGTAATACTATATATTTATTGCACTTGTAATTGCAAATATTTACTCCTAGAAAGGGAAGGGTTTGAGAGTTAAAGTGGATAATAGGATATGATTGTTTTTATATGATTAAGTAGGGGTAGAATAGAAAATCAAAAAACAATTTCATTAGCTTCCTTTTATTAGTAGTATAAATATAAAAACCATTTGACATTTTAAATTTTTTACAATAAGATTTTTTGATTATCGAAAAATATGATGTCTGTAAAACTAATGTTTTAAATAACATTGTTGTCTCCAATTTTTTTATAATTTTTTTTCCATTTTGATTCAATTGTATAAGATACATTAAGTTTAATTATAAATTCAAATAAATAAGCCAATTTATAATAAAATATTTTATAAGAATTTCTATATCTATAACTATATCTATCTATATTTATATCAATATTACTTATAAATGTCAGGAAAAAAAATTTGATTTCCTATTTTATCATAATCTCTATATTATCTTTAAATGGTGGAAGATGGTTCGATATTAGGCATGTGTGAGAATCCATTGGAAGAATTGTGATTTTGATAGGCATGAATTGAGATGTCTTGGGCTGGTGGGGGGTGACTCAAATGTGAACACATAGTTGTCACATTGCTTAAGTATAAGGCTAAGTATAAAGGTATGGCCCCCAATTATGCATAGCTGTTAATGTTAAAGATAAACAACTAATAATAAGTAAGGTTGGCATAGATGAATTCATATGCCAATTTTAGATACTAATCTCTTAACGGTTCCACTACAATTTTTTTTCTTTTATTTGGTAAATCCATAATTAGTTCCACTAATGAAATTTTTTGAGATTTCTGACATTGAAAGTAGCAAATAACTCGACAACTTTACTTTCAAAACTAAAATTTTGATTATGATATATATATATATATATATTATTTATTATTTGTGTCTGAAAGCACAAAGTAATAAAAATGGTATATTTGTATTTATATCCAAAATCAAATCACAAACATAGAAGAGAGATAAATGAATTTAAACATCGG